ACCAATCACGTTCTTGCTTGATTTGCGGGACCAGCGTTGCAGGCGGGAAGAAAAGCAATGTGGAGCGTCAGCTCACCGCTTCATAAGGAGTGTGACCTTTCCTTCTGGCAGGATTTAACACAACACATCAGCCCCATTGAACAGCCTATCGTTCCAGCCTATATACGGCACATGGGGGCCAGAGCTTTACTCTGTGTGTGTTGCAACTTGCATATTTATTTATTGCACCTGACGCACACACACGGGCATGTCCCCCCACTTTACAAATATGTTTATTATTATTAACGCAAGCCGTCATCACCACGGAGGAGCAAACAGCCTCTGTGAGTGGGCGAGAGAGAGAGAGAGAGAGAGAGAGAGAGAGAGAGCACCTTTATCTATTTAATATAGATAAAGTAAGAAATCATTCCAATGTGTACTATAGGATAGTAAAAAAAGAAAACAGTTTGAAAGGGGAGTGATTAGTCAAATATGCATAAATAAAAAGAAAGAATGCTAACTAGGTAACATAAGATAAGAATAAACAAGTTTAAATTATTTGTTATTGGTTGTGATCGTATTCTAAAGAAGTTTGGATTATTGAAAAGTATACAGCTCCCTTTCATCTGAGTGTTGAGAGCTGTATCCATAAATTCATGTTGTGCTCAAAGTGCACCAGATTGATGCATTTCACTTCAACATTTAATAACACATCTTCCCGGGGGAGCATGCCCCCGGACCCCCCTAGAGGAGGTGAGGTCCACCACCAAATAAAGCAGGTTAAAATAATTAAATTGCATACATTTTCTTTTAGTAAACACTGGAAACGGGTCCCACAGACCCAAACAGCACACAAAGGTTAAAGGTAAGCATATAATGTTAAAAAGTGCTAAATATATACACTGCAAGACACAAACAATCCTAAAAAGGTTGGTGACCCCTGGCCTATAGGCTTTTCCTGGGACTAGCCATTTGTGTTTGATCATGTGGAAAACAACCATTCAGTTGTGATTTAAAAAAGTGTACATACTTGATTCATTCATCCTAGCGGTCCAGTTGCTCCTGGACAGGCCCTGTAGAGAGACGCTGTACGGAGCAGTGAAGCCTGGTCCGTCTTTATCCGTCACCGCCAGCAGGTGGGAGGCCGGTTCCTTGTTACACAGCTGTGAAAACACAATGAATCCTGTTAGAACAAAAGTCCTAAAGCAAGAACATTTAATCATTTTCTTAAATGGAAAAATGTATACAATTATTATTAAAAATAAATAGGAAAAAGGTTTAGCACTTGGGAAAGGAAACGTACCCTGATTAGACGTTCGGTAATGGTGGGGGCATTGTCATTAACATCTTCGAGCTGAATAATGAGAGTACCAGTTCCTGTGGCTGGGACTTCATCTGGAGAGGTGACAGACTTACACATTAACATCTTCATTTTAGGGAAGCTTAAACATCACAGTGAGATAGAGCCACATTTATTTTAAACCAGTGCAGGCAAGCATGTACAGCTGCAGGTCCTGACTGCCACCTACCATTGTCATATGCACCAATGAGAACGGTGTATTTGTTGTCCTTGACGAAGAGGGACTCTCTGTCCATGGCGTTTTTTACTTTGATCAGGCCTGTGTCTTTGGCCACGCTCAGCCAGCCAGCGGGGTCTCTAATTATTCTATACCTGCAAATAAACAAAACATGTTAATATTATGCAAGTCAGCCACCATCTGCATGGTTGCTTGTCTGATCAAGAAGTACAGTCACTATCAGCAGGCTCAGACTGTTAGTGATGAATACATTCCCTCTGCTGCCTTTCTGAGGTGAGAGTTGAAGGGATCACCTAAAGCTTGTTTAAGAACAACAGGAAATGTTATAACACGGTACATGAGATTTTGTTCTTACATGACTTGCTGTTTTCGGACATAGTCTGGGTCAGAGGCGGTGTACTGCACCACATCAGCGTCAACCTCAAGGTCTTCCCGTTTAGTTACATGCTTCTCCATTGGATCAAAGATTGGAGCTTCATTGACGTCCTCCACAGTCACCACCACTGTGGCCGTGGCAGTGGGCAGAGGAGTAGCAAAAGGAACCTCATTCTCCACGGCAACCATCAGAGTGTGCTTGCCGCTCTTCTCAAAGTCGAGACCCTGGATGGAAGATAAAAAGCAAAGCGACAGTTCATCACAGCTCATACTGCTGTACAACCCAAACTCAATGGTACCTTTTTTTTTTACTGAGATAATACACATAAGTGTTTGTTATCTGACAAACAGAGCAGGTTGATGTAAACCAACTATCGAACAATACATTTATTGTAAAAATCACTAAACTTTATGAATTCTGAGAGAATGCACAATATTAGTTTCCTTCCTACCTTGACAGTAGAGATGATTCCTTCAAGCTTGTTGGTTCCTGTTTTCACTGTGAAAAGTCCTCTGGGATCACCATCCACGATGGTGAACTTGGCGTTCCAGGCTGGGGAATGTGGCTCGTCTCCGTCGGTTACTGACATGGTGACGACCAGAGTGTCCGCTTTATTTTCAGCTACTGATGCCTCATACTGTGGGGAATGAAGGAGGGGGTAGTAAGAAGTTAAACAAATAATGAAGACAAAGCTTTTTTAAATTCTTGGTGTTAAACAAAAGTACGTTTTTATGATCTGCTTTCATAATGGGCGACAGTGGTTCAGTCTGTAGGGACTTGGACTTTGGATCGAAGGGTCGCCAGGTCACAACCAAAAAAATATTGAGTGTGGACTGGTTCTGGAGAGGAGCCAGTTCACCTCCTGGGCCACTGTCGAGGTGCCCTTGAGCAAGGCACCTAACCCCACAGGGGTTGACTGGTTGCTTCTCCTCTCTGGACCTTTCAATGCATGTGTGAATGTAAAACTGTGTGTATTTGTATGTGCGCACAAAAGACATAACTGTGCATTTGTATGCATCTATACAAGAAGCATTTTCATGTATACAAAACTGAATTCCTCAATAAAAAGGTCCATCTTTTTGTTCTTAATGCACTTTAGTTCAATACTTCCCTGTGAAGCTATGGGATTTTCTGCTAATAATGTAAATAATAAACTTCCAGGACCCATACTGAGATCCTATCCTACATGAACTAACTAACTAAACTAACTAACTAACTAACATGAAAAAGAAACAGTCTTTATTACTAATAATCTTTTAAATCACCAAAAAGGTTTCTGCAGCAAACCTGTCATTGACCTTAAATTGACCGTCTATAAACTGGAGGTTTCATACATCAATACATCAGTTTGAAACAACTACCTAATGAAATTGCCAGCCACTAGCTTGACAGACATCATTTCAGTCACAAGGATGTTGTACTTACCAATGGCTGAGTGAATGCCGGAGCATTGTCGTTGCTGTCTGTCACAGTAAGGATTACTTTGGTTTCTCCTTCCATGCCTTCTCCCCCCAAGTCAGCGGCTTGTACAACCAGAGTGTACTTTGGGTATTTCTGTTAAAAGAGACACATGGAACTTAACTCAACTGGAAGCCTTACATGATTTGCTCTAATTTCAAAGAACCCATTAAAAAGCTTCAAGTAGAAATGTCTAGTATAATCCCATTAGCCTCAGCAGAGACATATTTGTCGCTGCGTTAGCGTGGCAACCGTACAAGATGCAGTCGAGAAGCTATACAGATGTGGAGTTTTGATCAAAATGGAGTTCAATAATGGCCATGGTGAGAACAAAGGGGGTGGGCAAGGGACCATAAGATAACATTACAGGAAAAAGTAGAAAAAATGCCTCAGACCCTGTTTGGGGGCATTTCTCTTTCCAACTACAAAAGCAGTTTATAGCCACAAGATAACTTCAGTGAAATGTCATTAAAAAAAAAAAGGTATGAAAAATCCCACCCAAGCTTTATTTACACCATCGTACTTAAACCAAATAAAACTAGTAGTTTGTCTGAAATAAAGGTGATTTAAAAAGGTTAAATGTGAAAGCACACTAAGACAGGTGAAATTGGTTTTAGAAGTTTCACCTCTCTGTCTAGCCCACCGGCATTGACTCTGATGACTCCGTTATTGGGGTTGATTTCAAACAGCTTGTCTGCGGGCAATTTTGGCTCCTGGTCTATAATTCTGTAGTGGATATCCGAGTTGTCAGAATTTGGCTCATCAGCATCGGTGGCAACAACCTTGATCACCTCTAAACCTGAAAAGAGAAAAGTGAAAATAATGTTCAGAGGTTTCTTCAAAGTTCGCAGAACACTATTTAAAAGTCACCTATCATGCTATTTTTAGGCAATAGCATAGGTCTCAGATATATAAAAATATATTAAAAAAACATGTCTATGAATAGTTTTGCTCAAAATACCAAACAGATCACCCATTCTAGCCATGTCTCATATCGCTATAGTTCACTTCCTGTTACAAAAGTGCTGATTCTGGGGTTGCGGTCGGATAATCCAAAAATCAGCTCCTAAATTCTAACCCTATCGTCTATTCCTTGACCTCTGAGTGAAACGTCACGGGGTTAAGGGATAGTGGATAGGAGAATTCAAAAGGACTTAGGAGAAGAGACTGCGGTACTTTAGAGAATCCGACTGCACTTTCACTATCCAACGTGTTTATGATGCGCCAGCGGACGTCATGAATGTGCATCTGCTGCTGTGGGGAAACTATGGAAACTACAGTTTTCTATACAGGATGGATGTTTAATAAGAACGACGGACTCATCTAGAGACTCTGCACCGTGCTCTGATGTTGTTGCTTTATGCTTTATGAACGTGGACAACAGAGAAACATATTCTTCATGACCAAAGTTGTAAGTTAAATTTATGCTCGTCACCCTCTCCCTCCGGTCCACATTAATACAAATGATCCCAATACGTATGATTGTATGAAAATATCATAAAATAAATACAAATGTATTTATTATAAATGTTAGTCCTTAACATCTATAACTGTTTATAAAACGGACAAGTTAAATCAAGCAATCTGATTGGCTCTTAGCCGTGATATACTGAGCGTATACCATGGGAAGAATTGTAAGTTACTTTTCACAACAAGTCAGTATCCCTCCGCGTCTACGAAAAACAGTATACCTATGGGCTGAAAAGCAAACTGCATGCAGTTTGCTTTTCATACTGGAACAAGAAAGCAGCGGAGAAGTAACGGGGCAGAAACCCTCCTTTTTACGCAGCGGTCCAGACATAGACATCAAACGGCAAAACATATTCAGTGTGCAGTTCCTTTGGCATTAGGGCAGGGATATCTAGACACTTTCCAAGGTTTGACATAATGAATTGTGCTACTTTTAAAGCAAGCAACGATGTTTTCAAATCTGTAATCAAAGAGGTCCGCAAAAACACTATCGACCAATCAGATTGCTTGATTTGACTCGTCAGTTTTATAAATATATTTGCATTTCTTCAGTTACGAAACAAACTTACAAAGCCTAAGATGGAAACATTTAAGATTAACTTCGACCTCCGGGGGGGTCTTACTATGGAGGAGTGGATTGAGCAGTGCCTATCTCAAGAAAGCACCTAAACGACGACATGCAGAGCTACGTGAAGAGCAGGTAGACCAACTGGAAAAGTAGCACCATTCAAAGGCTTTCTGATGCGGGTCTTGAAACAAAAGCAGAGAAATTATGACCGTTAGTGGGCCACAGGCTAAGAAAGCTCTCTCCAGAGCTACTGGAAGCCCAATCTCTGGGACCGGAGGAAAGTGGAGCAAATATTCCTGCACGCCCAAGCAACAGCTAGAACAACCTCAACCTATACAAGTGACCACCGTAAGCCATGCTACTGATGCTGGACATTTTTTTCAGTGTCTGCACCATAAACAGCAACATACACATTAATGTAAATAAACAACCAAATAATGGGATCAACGCTCTCTGTCTAATTAATGTTCGATAGCTGTTAGTGTTGTTGCATAGCAACCACTCGCACGTATGTTTGTGTGCAGAGGCAACGGAGGGGGACTATTTTATTTTGATCATCATTATTTAACGAATAAAAAATATTTAATTAGAGTGTATTTTTCTTTCATATTGCCACACTTTGGTAACCGTTTTATAAAAGCAATAGCTCACTTCAGGCCGTGATTATATGCTCATTATATCACAGCTTAGGGGGTTGTCTCTTTTTGATTATAATACTGATGAACGTTCGGAACAAAGCACCTTTGACAACTTACCACATACGTTTTACAATGGTCTAATAAGCACTCTTAACTTTTCATGATATCATTTCTCGGTCATAATCGGTTGTTTCCTGTGAACGGCCGACTGTTGTGTGACGGCAAATGCTGCAGCCGCAAGGCAGCATGTTCTCCTCTCCTTTCGTCAAGGGAGGTCCAGTGGTTCTTAAGCTAAAGGAGGTTATAAATGAAGTTTGAAACCTCCTATCCTTTCATTTAGAAGAATTCGAAACGGCAAACTTAATCATGGCTGCCCACTGCGGGACGTTCCGGGTTCATTTCACTCCGTTAGGAAGTTTCTAAGCTTAAATGGACTATTCGACTTCACCGAAGTATAAAGCTTTAAAAATATATATATTTGAAGAAA